GTCAGTTCTGTAGGTTGCACATGTACAACAGTTGTTACATTTCCATAAAAATTACAAATGAAAAAATATCAGAAGAAATTGGCGATATGGTACAAGACACATAAAAAGTGTCTTGGGAAAGACAAGTGTATTGGGTCAGATACAAACCTTCATGTGCTTTTGTTCTCTTGTTCTCAAGGGGAAGTTCTCAGTTTAAATTTGATAATGGAATGGGAATCTGGTTCATCTTGCCCTGCTAGTTAGCAGCACTATAGACCTCAGCAGCCAGTCCACAAAGACAACAGCTCCCTTACACATACATGGGCCTCTTTTCATCAGCCTGCATGGTGAGAGGTTAAACTGAATGGATGTACACAGAGACCTGAACTGTCCTTACCATAGCACCAATATTGAAAGATGGCTTGGGTGTGCTTAAGAACCATCCTGAAACTGCCTGTGGTCTTTATACCAAGGTAATGAAGTTGTAATAATAAAATACAGGATGTACACTCATGTTAGAAAAGTGTTGATGGTGATATGTTTCACTACTGAAAGTGGAGATTCCTAATCTTCTACATTGGAATGAGCAGAAAAGGCACAAAAATCTTTGGGATCCTAACCTATACAGTTCATTTGTCAGTTTTGAAGAGGCATCCCTCTTGCTTCAAGGAGAGCCAGGACACTATCCAACTAGTGAAGTCTTACGTGGTGTCTTATAGGGTAAAAATGACCCCCAGATCCTGCAGATACATGTTCTCCAGTCTCAGCCCTACACTGCCTTCATTTTAGCACCTGTTACTATTAGCAAAAAAGCACCATGGCACTAGAAAAACAGTGTGCCTGTTTAATTAAGACACAAACACTCCTGTCACAGCTCTGTTTTGTTGTGTGGGCATACTTTGGGAGAACACAGAACAACAAGATGCTCTGCAAAGTATGAGAGTTACACTACTTATTTCAAAGCTGTCTCTGTACAACCCATTCTGAAACTTCTCAGAAATAATTGTCCAAGTCAGGTTCTCAAAGAAATCCAGAAGAGTTGTCTCCCAGATCACTCGTCGACTAATGTTCTGCAGCAAAACTGTCTGCTGAATAATAGCAAGAGTTAAATAAGGTAACTATGTCCTTGAGAAAGCAACTGGAAGGATATTCTCTGCTTGAACTAATGTGTATCCAAGTAGGCTGACAGGGCTGGGGTAGTATGTACTGAGCTCTGGCATCTGAGGCTGAACGATGATGTGAAGCTCCCTCTCCCTTGCCAGAAAGCCTAACATTTCATTCCCTCTTCTTTTGGATGGTGTTTCCAGGTGTGAGATTAAATGGTAGAACTGCAGTGTTGAAATTGGTCTGAAAAGAAAAGTAGTGCTTGTAGGGTAAGCAACACAAATCTGCAGCATAACTAGAAAATTGTCCCCTGCTCTGCATTAGGATAAGTGATGCCTACAGCTAGGTAGCTCTTGGGTCAATGTCAGAGTCAGACATACAATGATGCTATTTGAACATTTCCACTATACACCAAGGTCACATTAGCATTTTCAGATGTCAGTGGCACGCTGGAAGCTGGCATATGGCTGATTATCCACTGTGTTCTTCAGCTCCTCCTCCTCTGAGTTCCTGCTTCTCACATCAGTGGCAAGATGCATTTTACTATACTAAATGCCTCTGGTTTATTAATTCCTATGTATGTATGTATGGAGTACTGATTCAGATCACTGAGTTTCAACTTTTCTACCTATTATCACTTTATATACTATGAAATGTGCTAATTTTTCTTTTAGCCCTTTGAAACATGAAATAGTGAAGTGCCAAGGATCTGGTTTCTCTCTTCACCTACCAAATGTGTAGTTGCAGAGGAGCCAGGACCAGGCTCTCCTCAGAGGGCTGTAGTGAAAGTAGAACAGACAACAGGCACAGGTTGCAGCATGAGAAATTCCAACAGATATCTGCACTGCAAAAAAGCCTGAAGGAGCTGCTGGAAATGTGTGTATATATCATTTTCTCTGCCCTGCACTCCAAGGCAGCTTGCAGACACACTTGTATTTAGATGCTCAGAGGTTAACCATGCCTTACAGATAAATTGCATTCTGATATTATTTGTTGCCACTGACCCCAAAATTAGTCACTTGTTAAAACCGAGCATCTGATGCTTAGAGGTTTGAAGTTGCTGCAGCAGGGTCTGTCCCTCAGGTGCTCCCACGGCGGGTGTCTTTTGGGGCTCTGCGGCTGAGGATGGCTCCGGGAAGCATCGCCTCGCTGCAGCCAGAGCCCGCAGAGAGCCCCTGCGGAAAGCGCAGGGCCCCACCTGGGGGCAGGAAAAGTAATGCCAGGCTAATTCCATGCCCAGAGCTCCCGAGTCCCCGACAGGGAATCCGGGGACACGCCTACCACTCAAATTTTTCCCCAGCAGCAAATCAAATAGCCTTTCCTAGGAGCAAGGCTGGGTTGCGAGTGCAGCTGCCTGAGAACCTGCCTGCACCAATAGTGTCCGGGCGCCCTGCTGTCCGCGTCCTGCACGCCTCTGGGACGCGAACTCTGCCCTCTTGGACCTCAAAGGTGTGACCAGCACCAGCAGGTCCGTGATGCCCGCGAACCGCTGGGAAACCCGCTGAGGGAGCAGCTTTTTAAACCAGGCACGGAGTACGGGGCATTGGCTCCAGCGGCGGCTCCGTGAGGGGAGGCCGGGGCTGCTCCCGCCGGACACGGCCGGCTCCAGCCGGGCAGGGCTGGGCCACGGCCGGGTTGGGAGTGGGGAATAGTTTAACAAGCGGCCAAACACTGCACGGCAGAGTGCCAGGGAAAAAGAGAGGAGATAGTGCGTGCGAATGCACGAAGGGAAGGAGGGGAGAAGGCAGAGGACTCGGGAACGCAGGAGGGAGGCTGAGTCGGAGAAGAAAAGGAGTGGGAGGAAGGTGTTCAAGTTTTTGTTTCTCACCAACTATATTAATTGATAATAAAAGAAATTTCCCCCAAATCAATTCTATTTTGCATATAGTGGCAATTGGCAAGTGATACTAAACATAGGAATATCTGCTAAGTGCCTGCTAGAAGCAGTGTTAGGAATCCTCCAGTCAATCGACCTAGCTAGTTTTCCCTGAATCTGGCATTTTGCCTTTTTTCTTTCTTTTGGTTCATGTTGCTATACTCGGGTGAGAAGAAGTGCCACAAGAAGCATGCAGGAGACTTGAAAAATTCCTATGAAAATTGATGCTACTTTTGCACTTTCAGATGGGCTTAAACAAATAGCAGAGTTCCACTGGAATTAACTGCAGTCTATCAAAACATCAGGAAGCACAATGTAAGCAGAAGTAAAGATCCCATACAGTCATCAGAAACCATAACTTGTACTAAAGCAAATATCCCGTACTTGCTAGTAAATCAGTGAGAATTATCCCAGTGTTTTCAGTGGAAATGAACTTGTCATTCCATTGGTGGAGTGTTTTAAACCAAAAATGGTTGTATAGGATCACAACCCTTCCCTCCACCAAGCATAATTTACTTGGCTATCAGAATGATGCTCAGGCTGATTTGTAAATAAATAGGTCTTACCAGAGCAAGAGATGAAGAAAACCCCTAGTCCTTGGAGAACACATCAAAACTGCCTATCTGACACCTAAGTGATTTGTGACAGGTAAAAGTGAAACAAATCTTGAGATTGCTATGAGTTAAGTAATATTTAGCCAGGAATTATTGGGCTGGCAATATTGAGAGACATAGGAGAAACAGCAACAAACATGTGCACATTTTTCTTGTTTACCACTGTCTTGAAGGTTGGTAATAAAAATGAAGAGCTCTTACGTGTTGTAAAAGCATTACTGAAGTCAGCTAACAACCCTAAATAATTACTGCTGGAGTGCTTACCGGGACTCAAGGTTGCTCAGTAAAAAAGATATTCTGTAATAGACTTACATTTAAGCTGATTTCATCCCTAGTTTGCCCAGAATATGGAAGATCACACTAACAGTTTGCAAACCTGCTGCTCTTTACATAAGGTTAGAAAGTAAATTGACAAACCTGCATGGGAATATCAAAATAAGAAGGTTATCAGACAGAGTTAAGCCACAGCACTGTGTAGCCTTGCATAAGCAAACATTACTGTAATTTTGTATGGAGAAGAAACACTTTTAGGTATTTTTAATTTCAAAACAAACCAAGAAGATAAGTAAAAATAATGAAATAAAATTTGAAGTTCTTATCAACAATTTACTGAAATATCAGGAAATTAACCATCACTTGGGCCAGACCTGAAGCCTTACAGGGTAGGTCTACATTAGTGGTCTGGAAGAGGAGGATGTTTTAAAAATTAATTTCTTAACTGTGCTTTGGCTCCCATCATAGTGTGATCTTGGAGTGTACAAACTGGATTCTTTCTGGCTGAAATTAAACTGGAAAATATGTTTCAAGAGTGCACCAAATGCTGTTTTAAGTGTCATTCAGTCCACACAACCACTCTTGAGCTATGCTCAAGTTAACCCTGTCCCAAACACATACAGGCTTCAATGCCAGTTGTTCTTCTGCTCACATTCGTTGCTGTTGTACCACTCTATTTACTACTAGGAATAGCCATCAGCTGTTAGGTTTTTCACCAAAAAGTACTGCCAGAGGCATCACCTACATCTGCTGCATCTTTGCTTGTGGAACTCTTGAACAGCATTACACAATAACTTTCCTCAGTTTGTGGAGAAAAAGTTCACTTAGCAAAGGAATTACGATCAACAACTACAGTGTTTTCCAAACTTTTCTAATGAACTAATCTGAGATTAAACTAAAGACTGAAATGTAATTGCAATTGACATTACATTAGCTGATAAATTACTGTAAGTCAATACAAACTTTGTATGCCTGGCAATGAGGGGAAAATGTTTGTAGCACTGAAAACTTCAATCGTGTTGAAGCTGGGGAGTCTGACGAGCTCTCAAGTGGGGAACTTGTTCAGATATCAGATGAGTGTACTTACTAGATCCTAGTGTCAAGCAGCATCTTATTTCTCAATCCACAGCTGACACAGGAATAAACCAGGGCCATTGGAGATTGAGCACAAGTCTTTTCTTGTAAACTATGTCATTAATGTAGAATATGAATAACAAATATGAAACACCAAGGTAACATCCTGCAGAGCAGCTTTTCATAACCTAAGTGCCATTTTCTGAAGTCATTAAAACAGTTTTAAATTCCTTAGTCTAGCTGTCTGTGGAAACCATACAATTTTTAAAAAGAGGAAAAGAAACATTTTGAGTTTGCTTGGTACTAGATAGGCATTATATCAAATTTGTGTGCTGGTTTACTACCTCTCCTTCACATCTCCATTCTCTTGTTTATAAACACAAACAAAACATATCTTTCCATGAGGCATGTGGATTAACAATGACCCTCCTCATATAAAATAAAAAGAATTTATCCTCCAGGAAAAGTAAAAATTATGTTTGTAAGCCCCAGCTTTCATTCACAAGACAACAGGATAATGTGACTATCTAAAAAGTTTATTTGATTTGTCCTCCAGATAGAGCAGTTAAACAAAAACATTATTTGGCAGTCCATTTATTTCCCGATTTAGTAATAAAAGTGCAATTTAGTTATAAAGGCACAGTGTTGACATTTAGACAAGTCACTGATGTCCAGTAGAACTGGCAGGAGAAAGACCTCACTCCTACTTTGTTTAAAAACCTTGTTTCATATGCCAACAGTGATACTAAAGAAGAATAAAGGCCTACATTGAAAGCAATCATCATATAAAAATCTGATCTGGATCTAGAAAAATGTCCTCAGAAACAGCAAGACATACTGTAGCTATCAGTCAGAAACTCACATTTCTCTCTTCTGCTGTTCCACAGTCTCTAGCAACTCATGGTTGCTGCCATGTCAATTGCTTAAAATTACCAGAAAAAATCTTGAGATGAATGAAGGAGAAAACAGGCTAGTATTAAGTGTTATAAAAGATACCTGCCTACTGTATTTTGTGTGATTGCCCATTGAAACACCTCTGGATCACCCCTTCGCCTTCCTTCACAGTGTAATTGGACCAGTGCAATCTGGCACTTCTCTTACAGCCTGCAGCCAGGCAAACTTAATTTGCTTTTACATCATAATACATGCGGAGAACTCTCCTGACAGTCTCTACAAATTTATCATCAGAAACAGGTTTCCTCTGGCTTCCCGGCTCAAGAAATTTCTTGATGGCAGGGATGTTGCTTATCCTTGCTTTAAATGCCTAAAAGGGAAACAGTAAATATATGATATTTAAAGAACAGAAAAATAACACAAGAAAAAACCCTGTTTTACTGATTTGTGTAACATCCTTTAACTAGCTGTATGTGGAGAGAAGACAGGAAATACGGTTTCAAGTGTGGATGAATTTTACTCCCACTCACTTCAATCCTTTTATTTTCCACAGTAACAAATGAGCCATCTGTCTTGCATTGATATGGGATGAATTGTTATCTGTGGTTTCTAAGGTGTACATTGCTCAAATCGTTCTTGTGATCCAGAAAATATCTTCCACTTAGTATCACAGAACTGCTGAGAGTCAAAAAAAGGGAGGGTGCATTTCTTCAGATGTGTACAGGGGTTCCTCCAGAAAATAACACTTTCTCTAAATGAAACATCTTAAAAGGCTCTTCCTAAAGCAGGAAAAGCAAGACTACAATGAAAAAGTAACAAATGTTTGTGGAATTATTTACATAGAATAGACTTTGAAATATAATTTATCACATTTATAGCCATATGAGCATCTCATTAGTGCAAGGTACCTGTAACTGAGGAAAGCCTGAGAGCACATCTGACTTCTTCTCTTCTACCATTAAAATGGCTTCAAGAAGATGAACATCTGCCCAGCTAAAATTGTTGCCAACAAGGAAGTCCTGCCCATGGTCTTTCAAAACCTAGAAATGTCATAGATGAAAACACTCAGGTTGGATAGCCAGCTGAGGTTCATGTTTTCAAAATTCATAGGCACACCTTCTTTGACAACACTATTGTCTCCTTTTCATCCTTCTCTCCCATGCAGCCAACAGGAGGATCAGGATATGCCAGCAGTCCCTAAGCTGAAATCTAGAATCCCAGGGTTTTTCTTACCAATCCTTTCTCTAGGTAACCTTGTGTACTAGGCTATAGGGTTAGATACCTTCTTGGTATTCACATCTTTCAAGTCTAATTTATCTGGAATTTTTCTATACATTTTTACAGATTCAATGAGAAAATAGAGGGTATAAAAGAGAGGTGATCAGCCTAAAGCATTAGGGCTAAGATGCAACAAGTGGAATATAGGGCAGAATGCACCCTGGCAACCACCTACAGGAGACCTTACAAAGCAAAAAACTGTTTTCTCTTTAGTCTTTAAAATGGAGAGGAGCTATTCCTGCTAGATCATCCTGTCCATGCATATTAATTTCCACTGAGAGTACCTCTTGGGTCCTATCTCTCAAATTATCAGTTAGAGAAACACCAAGATTCCAGTATGGCTAGAAGTCAGCAGTGATAGCTGTATATTACTGTGTTTACAAATACCCAACTGGGATGTATTTGAGATGTTAAACAAAGAAGACAATTAGCACTGCTTCTGCAATGCAAATTACTGTGGTGGGGTTGGCCCTGGCTGGGTACCAGAAGTCCACCAAAGCTGCTCTATCACTTCCTTCCTCACCTGGACATGGGGAAGAAAATAGAGTGAAAGTCTCTTGGGTTGACCCACCCCAACATATCTGATACTGCTCTGAACCCCCTCCAGCCTACAGACAGAATGGATGTTCTGGTGTAAAGTATTGCACTGACACTTCTGTTTCTGGTTGTGGTGAAATACCCAGTGTTCCCATTGTTATCCCTCCAGAATCAGGGAAGAAAATGATCCTCCTCCATACCTTTTCATACACCGGGAAATACCTGCTTGTCGCCTTCTGAACTATTAAGGCACGTTGTTTCTCTTTATCCTCTGCTGATAAGAAAGGGAACATCAAAATGAAGCCCATAAGGTCATCAGTTCCTCCGACATACATATCAATCCTTAAAACCAAAGCAAACAAAATCCTTAAATAGAAGGCACCTTCACAAGCCGAATCACCTTGTATTTGTTTCAGGATAGTAAACACTGAATTTCCCATCTCCCTGTCATGGTGCTTCCCCCCTGCCTACTCCTTTCCAGGCTGCAGTGTGATCTGAGAAATGCTTTTTAAGCAATCTCAAACACACCCTCTCATGGAAATTATTTCTGCAATTTAAAAAAAATATGTCACAGTGGGAGTCTTGTAGTGATTTTGGCTTTTTACTTGCTTCATTGTGCATGCTTAAACAGGATTGCAGAGATTAAGTGTGTAACTTTGGTGTTACAGATCACTTCACAATCACCAAAGAGACACACAGCACCACAAGGAGCCATTCCCAACTGACTTAATTGTCTGGATGTATCCCACCTTCAGAATTTCATCCAAAGTCCAAGTAGTGCCAAATAGATAAATAATGGGATTGGAAGCCTGTAGCATACCAGGTTCTTCATCCAGCTATTTCCAGAGCTATCAGAGCAGGTTTTGTACTGTAAATGGACATTTAAAATGCTACATACTGAGACAGCCCCATCATACTTTTTTTTTTTCTTCACAGACACAACATCAAGATGTAATTTCACATGGATGTTATTTCATACGAAACCAATAGTTTTTCAACAGCTTTTAGCAGTTCTTTCCCCAGTTCCCAAAGATCTAAACTGTGCACTTTTTACAGTGCAGTGGGATATCATGCAACCGCAGATAATGCCAATGACAGCTCTTATTTTGCAGCCAAAAGTTAGAAACAAACCATTTCTTTTCAGAGTTTTCTGGTTACAAAAGTAGTTCAGCATCTACATGCCAGTAATCTCTCAAATACCTGTGTCAGGCTGTATTAATCTTTCAGTAAGGCACAATAAACCCACAACTCAAATATTTTTATGTGAAAAGTAACTGAGTTAGAACAAATCAGTTGGCTTGCATCTAGCTGTGGCTTCTCAAGCTCAGTGCAAGCTGTGAATCTCCTGAGGCCCACAGGTGACTGTGCACAGGTGTGTGTGCAACTATGCAATTAATTCTAGATGCATCTGAACTACTACAGTAAATTCAAGAAGAGTAATACTGTTACATACAAGGCTCTCTCCTTCAGGTCCTTCCCATAGAGGTTGTACTTTGCTGCAATGTAGCTGAGGATGGCTTTGGTCTGCACCATCCTCATCCCATCAATCTCCACCATGGGCACCTGCTGAAACAGCAGGGATCCACCTAAAAGGACAGACACACATTATTCGGCTCATCTAATAACTCTGTGTCAGGTTTCTTGCTGTCTTCAGAGGAACATTGCTTTTATGATGAGCTTGCTGTGGGTAGCCATTGTATTAAACTGAAGTTCTTCCATGCAAAAGAAAAATTACAGTGGTGCAGACAAATTAAACTGAAAAAATACAATTATTGTGGGTCACCATCCTTCCTTTAAATAAAATTCACTGAAGTTTTAGTCAGGACTGTGTACAACAGCTTTTGAAATGAAACTGAAATGCAGTGGAGAAAATCACACTAAACATCTTAACTGAGTACAAAGTGTCTAGTTCCAAACAATGTAAAAAAAATTCTGTTCCGTTATTCAAACAGTATTTGAAGCAAATGTTAGATTCACAGATTTCTCTCTTATGACCAATCTTCAGGCTATATCAGGACATAACATGAAACTTTGGGATGCATATTTTCTGGTTACTGAAGCCCTTGGTTAAGTTTGTGGGACCAGGTGGGATGCATAGACAAATGGAGAACAGAAGAATCCATAGGCCCGGCAAACCCTCCAGGTTGGAAAGACACGTGGAAAAAAATCAGCCTCTTCAGCTGCTCACAGCTCTCAGCTTTACTCTTCTGTGTGGAAAGGAAGACACATAATGTCTTCAAAGACTTCCCACATCTTCTCTAAGTCTGGTTACACTTTTCTTGAGGTTTCATATGGACTCACCTTGCAGGAGTTTCTCATACTGCTCTCGGGTTTCCAAAAACTCTTCTTCAAACTGACAAAAAAGAATGAGGAAGAAGAGGAAATAAGAATCTTTCCACATTTCTAGAAGAGATAACCCTTTAAAGCACCATAAAAGGAAAAGAATATACATCATGGTTCTTTTCATTTCAGATATGGCTCTAAGGGAGAACACACCAAGGACAGAAGTGCTGGCAGTATCTCCTGGACTGTCACACTTGATAAATGCTGCTAAGAGCAACCCTAGCAGAACAACAGGCAATAAGAACTGGAGTGAGGATGGTTTGTTTGGTATTAAACAGGCAATGTAACGTGTAACAAACAACAATACAGTCTAAGCTGTCCTTAAGATGCTTTCTGGAATGTGGAAAAATCTGCTGTGTGATATTTTGATTTGGGAACTAGACAGGAACAACTTCTTCAGAAGTTAAAACAAAGCTTTTAGAAAATAGTGTGCAAGTAGCAAGCCCTGCAGGAAGTTTGATACAGATGCATATTTCAGACACCTGAAGATTAAACATTCACAAGATGAGAAACAAGAAGATACAGAATTGGTGGTGATCAGATGGATGGAGTTGTACTCAATATGGTTGAGGATAGCTGGTCCAGTCAGTGTTGCTTATGGAGAAACTGAGTTCAAGATTAAGACACCAAAGTTAGACATCTACGTGTATCTGTTTGCATGTGTCATACATGTCTGTGATCAGTGCACAACATGGAGACTAGAAAATGGTTGATGTTTCCAATCCCTAAAGGCCTTGCTCAGTCAGCCTCTCTAATTACATCTGTGCCACTCAGTAATTAAGATTTGTTATACTAGAGAAACCCCAGAAGAGCAGGCACATTAACACACCGCCAATGTTCAACCATAGCAAGTATGATCACAGTCTAAAATTTAGAACCCAGATTTCTGCTGATGAGAAGCTGAGAAAATAATATTCCATGGAAAAAAATGTAGTAATTGGTATTTATCAACAGCTGTTTTTTAAACTTGAAAAGAGAGAGGGACTTAAAGCAGAGGAACAAATGATGGAGGGAAGCAGACAGTTCTGTCTTCTGCAAGGCCTTCAAAAAAAAGACTGGGGGTCTTTTTAAAAACCGTGTATTCTGTGGCTCAGTACACAAGTAACTGTATGTACTGTAACAGCTTATTGTGTAAAAGAGGGCACTCAGAACAAATACTAGTCCTTTGTGTCCTGAAACTGTATTACCAGTCTACCACCAAGATGGCCAGCAAATGAAAAGTAAATTATACACCATTAGAAAAAATTAAAGTGGTATCTTTCCTCCTCCATTTTACCCAAGTACTTGGAGACTTCTAATTTCCCTACACATGTGGTTCAATTGGCTCACTTCACCCTGCTAAATTTCATCTAAATGATGAAAGCTTACAGCTTATTATGAAGGATGCAGCCAGTGGAGTGAAATATAAAACAAAAATCTCTGTGTGAGCATTCAACTGAAAACAGAAAAACTAGAGAAAATGAATTGCTGTTTTACAGGGCAGAGATAACACTTGTTATGGGAGGAACACATCTATCAGCTCAGCAGCTCTGGCTCAGTAATCAAGTGCTTAATTAAAGATTACACATTCTTGTGTTAAGCAAGTGTTACTGCTTACAGTGTCACTGCTCAGAAAACATGCAACATGAAGCCATGCTTTTGTGTGCCTGAAGTAAAAGTATTTAATTACACTGAATAGCCAACATTCATTTACTGTTGCATCTTGGGATGCCTTTTCTTTTTTGACTAATAACATGCAATCTGCCTCACAGACAAGCTTACCAATGTGCAGCTAGAAGTTAAAAACTCTAAAACAAACCTCGACCCCAGCTGCAGCCAACAACCAACGAATTGATTCCATCTTGCCTCTTCCATTAAAGTAGTAAAGTTTTGGTTTTGTGGACATGACTTCAAACTTTCCGTTACCTAAGAGTTATAAGAGATAGTAAGTTAATAATTATACAAAAATCTGATGGCAGCTGAAAAAACGGTTCACAGGTCACTCACACAACAAAAATTTAAGTTAATTTTTGATGAAATATTTTAGCAAAGTTTCAGTCTAAACTGATTTGATTTTCTTGCTGCGCAGTCAAGTCAAACTATTTCATAGACTTTTCATCCCCCTGAAATTCAGGAAAAATAAGTATCAAGTTGCTAAGTAGGAGGTAACAGAAAAAAATTTAAAAATCACCACAAAGAAAAACCTTAAAACTTTTAGAAAATAGAAGTTTTAGCACTGAAGTTACACAGACACAACTAAAAGCCAAGCCTTGATCAGAGAGAAGAGGCAGTAAACTGAGTTTCCAAAACTGGCAGACCTTGTATCAGGGAATCTAAGTATCTAAACATTAATTCTACACGTTTGGGTGAAGCATGGGAATGTACTTTTAAGCCTCTCACTTTTTTTTCTAGCTGCAGTGATCCAGCAATCAGTAGAAACTTCAGAAGAATGGCCTGTTTCTTCTGTAATAATCCAAATTAAAATACAAAGTTTCAGAGTGTTGCACAACTTATCCTTCTAGAGGTCACATTTCTTTCTATTAATAAACCCTGTTGCTATGCAAAACTTTATGGACTTTATAGATGATCCAATGCTGCTTTGCAAGCAGCATTTTAGTTCTTTAATGACTTCATAAATGAGGCTATTAATTGTTATTTTTTTGAACAGACTACTGTTTAGGCCTCAGCAGGAACTGGATTCCACTGTAGAGCCATAAGCCAAGAGAGCAATCAAATTTAATCATACTGGCATTTCACATGCAGAACTCCCTTACAGCAAGTCCTTGCTGCAACTGAGAGCTGTTTTCCCTCTGTAAGGTCATTTATTGTCACTTCAATCCACAGTTCAAGTAATTCTGGAAAAGAGGCCCTTGGCATGTGAACAATAACCTCCAGTTTCCAATGTTCCAAGAGCTCCTTCATAAGCAGAGGGAAAAAAAAGACCTTGGGCATGCACAAAGTGATCTGCTTGTTAGCCAACAGGCATGAAAAGAGAACACAAAATATGAGATTGCATCAGGCCATGGGAATTCAAACAAGCCAGGCTATTCTACCCCTGCCTGCTCAGGGGCCTCCAATTGCTCTCAGGAAAGTGACAGGGAACTAAAACACTGCGAAGTGCTATCTCTGCCACTGATAAATATAGCAGTGAATTAGAAAAGTATCACTGTGAACCACAAAAAAGAACAAAATTAAACAGGAGCTGCTTGTAATACAGTTACATTCACAGAGAAAGAAGAAAAAAGCCAATGGTGATTTTTAACTTGTAGTTTAAAAAAACCAAAGAAACAGAAGAGTCACTCTACCTCAGTGCCACTTCTGGAGACCTGCTCTTAGCAGGCCAGTGAACAGGTCACAGGACATAAGCAAGTCACTGATGCCCAACACACCTCAATGCAGCACAGGAAAAATGAAGGTAAAGGCATGGTGGATGCTTCTTTTATAATATTTTAAAAATAATATATTTTTAAATACCGAGGGATCAACAACCTTTGAAATGAGCTGCAGCATTCTAGGTTCCTAGGACTGAGCCTGCTATGCCATAGGAGAAAGTCCAACCTGTGAACGAACTAAAGTCGGATGGAATGAGCACCCTGGTGATGGGCTTCTCCCTTCTGTGCCCTTCATCAGAAAGGGATAAATGGCAATTTGCAGCCAGGAGCAGCAATTACTGGTAGGTTGTTGTCCGCTCCCCTCAGCTGGAAAATGGACTTTGTGAAAAATTTGCTCCCTTACTGCGATTTATGAAGGCCATCTGGGCTAACGGGGGAATGAGGGAACATGAATATCAGCGCAAGAAGGGATTGCTCCCCGCAAGGAGAACACGGACCAGAAGAACATGGGCGAGGAGGGCCGGGGGAGCAGCCCGCAGACGCAGGGCTCTAGGGCCCGCATTTCCCTGCCTGCATTCAGCAGCCCGACAGCGCTGCCACTCTGCACCCGCAGCACCAACCCGGGGCACGTCCCGTGCTCAGCCTGTGACAGGCAGCAGCCCGGGGCCATCAGCTCCCACCCCTCCCGGGGACAAGCTCTTGGCAGGCCCGAGATGACCGGCGGTCCGTGCTGTGGCACGGGGAGCCCGGGAGCGGGAGGCCTGAGCCCGGCACAGACTCCCGGCTCCCCGCCTCACCTGAGCCAAGCGACCACGGGCACCGCTCGGCGGGGGGAACAGAAAGAGAGAAATCGCAGGGGCCCACATTACTCACACACACGGAGGGTGAAGCGGGGATGCCGAGCGAGCACACGACGCCCCAAGCCAGAGCACTCCCGCCGGCCCCGCCTGCAGCCGCCGCCGGCCCCGCCTGCAGCCCTCCCCGCCCAGGCCACGGGACGGCGACGAGCGGAGCAGCCGCCAATGGGAAGCCGCAAATTTGCAAGTTTCGCAAAGCCTTCTGGAAAGACATCTCACCCCAGAGAATTTCGCTGAAATTTTTAACCGGGTTAAGAACCGGTTTCTCTCGGGTAGTTTTGTCGCTGCAAAGTGTTGATTTCGTGCGCTGTGTCACTGGATTTTCAGCTGTTTTTACAAACCATGACTTCAAGGGAACCACCAGCACTGAGGTATAAATACATTCTAGGCAGCAGTCGTTGTCTGGATGTGAGGGCGATCTGGCTGCGACATCTGTCACCCCATTGATCGCCAGGGTTGATTCGGCTGATCTGGCTGGCTAGGCGGGTGTCCCCTTCCTCCCTCAACGCTCCATGTGCGTCCCTCCCGAAGCTGCGCGCTCGGTCGAAGAGGACGACCTCCCCGATAGAGACGGTACCGTTCATCGGTCAAGGGTATACGGTAGCTGCGCTCCCCTGCTAGAACCTCCAAACAAGCTCAAGGTCCATTTGTAGGAGAACGTAGGGTAGTCAAGCTTCCAAGACTGCAGACACATCCAAGTGAGGCGCTGCATGGGGCAGTCTGCCATTGTTTTGTGCATAATGCACAGAGAGGCATGCAAACTCTTTTATTTCCCTTTATCACTTCTTCAATTCCCCACTCACCTACAAATCCGTGAGCTACTCACATCACACACACACCCCCAAATACCAAACCAGGTAAAACTGGAATCCTTGGAAACATACATGTATTTTTCCCCACGTAAATTTGTTCTTCATCTATGCAAGTGCTTGTCAGCCCAACAGCTAACAAGAGCGCTGGGCTTGTACGGTATAAACTGTCTTCAGCTTCTACTGCCTTGAAAGCCAGGGGAGAAGGCTAAAGAGGTGACACAAGACAGAACAATAGCACAGGAACAGAAGATAATCCTTTCCCTTGGAAAGGGACCCACAACAATCTAGTCCAGCTGCCTGTCCTCCTGAAGGGTTATGCATATTATAACTCAGTCTTGCAGGAAAGTTCAGAAGAGCTGACAGCCAAGGAAGACTAAGTGATCAGTTTTACAGGGAGCTCACAGTGTATTGCAGAAATTACATGCTTAGACTCAAACCACTAGGCAAGTGAATGTGCAGTGTCCCTCCAAGGCAGCCTATTAAAAAAAACTAAACCCCAACTGAAAAAAAACCCCAACCAAACGAAAAACCCCAACCAAACGAAAAACCCAACCAAACAAAACAAACCAAGCAAGTCAGCCAGTCAGTCAGTGCTTCCTCAAGGACAACTTTATTCTGGGCAGGACATTTGACACAGAAGGAATGAAACAAGAATTTAGGATGTTTCTGAACAAAACAAATGTTTCTGAATAAACAAGAACCATTATTTCTCCACATGTGACAATTCCACCCCTTCCTTCCCTATTAAGTTCTAAAATGTTCTTTCAGTACATATTTTCCTCCTCACATTATGGAACATCCTGCTCATATCAACAGCCATATCAGATACAGGAACACCATGGATTTTCTGGCCTTTTTTTTTTCTTCTTGTTAACATCATGGCACTTACACACTACGTTTTGGAAAATCTGGATTACAGGGGTAAATGAATCCACTGTCAAGACTCCTTTATTATTACATGTTATGCCTAAGCCTGAGAAAATGTAAACAGTACAATTCTAAAAACATTTTCCACAAAGATGCTGCTAAGTATTAAAGCACAAAGTAGTAGGTTACATATCATAAATTCTCAGATATGCTGCTTGTCCAGATTTGAGTATATAAAGACCTCCATCTTTTCCATATCTGTATTGCACAGAGACAGCACAGTAAAATACATAAACTCCATCCTGCTCAGAAAGAACTTTTCCAGCTTCAGTAAGAACGTGCTTGAGTAAAGGATACAGCCATTACATCTAGATAATTTTCTCTCACTAAGTTAAAACTAGCTGTGATTCTCAATGTCAAGATTATTAGCTTTTTCCTCAAAAATAAAGGCTTTAACTTAGGAAAGGAGGAGATATAAGAAAAATGAAAATTTTAAGTACAACTTACTTTTTTAATCTTTTGACTGGACAGACTAAAGCCTGAATGCTATAGTCAAAAGAATCACTGACAGTCTGAGAAAAGGTTCAGAGATTACAGGCCAGGTTCGGATTCATCCTGTGTTACTTGAACCTCACAGAGCTGTCCCCCTCCTCAGTGGAGAGACTCGGGTATCTCCAGAATGTTAGTATGCTCTCAAATGAGAGAGAGCAATCTCAAGATTTCTTTTGACATGATTCTCACTCACCAGGGGTGAGTCATCTCACAACAAAGGAGCTCACAGTTAGGTATGATAAATCCAAGCCTCAGCTGCCTGTTCTCATGACTTGTCTCCTTCCACTCGTAGGAACTAAGACCAGACTACTTAAATAGCCTACTTAGGCCTAGGGACACTGGGATAGGTTCAGGGTGTTCCTTCTTGAGGCAAATTACCTGGTGACGAAATAAATTAAATGATACCTAGACATAAATACAGGTATTTATTTCCAAGAGAAACAACTACCTTTCCAGTTCTATCACAAATATACATATTTCCCTTTCCACTAACCCACACACACCCATCAGTGTGCACTTCAGAAATCAAATTTCTACCTTACTGCTAAGCATTGGCATCACTGCTGTGGAAGCCGTTAGGTACGGTTTGGAGTTAACACTTGCTATGCCCAGATAACAGGGCAGCAGGACATACAAGATGTCTTTGGCATGTAGAAGTCTTTCATGCACATTTTGCTCTTTGTCTTGTACTGTCTCACTGTGGGCTGGGCCTATACAAGCAGTGACCAGTGCTCCCTGTGGTTCCCCCTGTAGCACTGAGCCAGCAGCCTACCCTAGGGTACAGTTTCCTCAATATCCCACATGTTCACCATGGGAAGCACCAAAAAGGCCAGAATCTGTTCTCAGTCTCAAGGCCACAGCAGCTGCCCCTTGTGTGTGCTGGCAGATTCCATGGAGAGGATCTCACTGACACACAAGTTATTCAGTTCCTGTGAAATGGCTGGAAGCTGAGAACTGCACCTGCTCTGATCCCTTTAAGCTGGATTTAAATCTCATAAATAAACTATTTTCCTGAGCTGATCACAAAATGAGCTCAGAAAGAGAAGCATTTCTGCACACTCCTGCAGGGAGATGCACTGTCTCAGCACACTTCAGCTTTGGCAGCACTGCTCCAGAACACAGCTATGGAAGGTTTTCTCCCACAGCACTGAACAATTTTATCTTTTTTCTGTAGAAGGAGGTGCAGAACAGACAAATGCTGACTGTGCTCTAAAAGAACCTTCTGCTGATGGTTGGACTCTGGCACTCTTTTCCGGAGTAGAACTAAACCAGATTATGGGGATATATTCTTTTCTCTATACCTTGATATAAATCACACCCTCATAAACAGAGTTAAACTGCCCTTCAAAGAACTGTATCAATTTCAGTGAAATCAACCACAGTTTTACAACATTTTCTTAACAGGACCACATAAGATCCCATTTTTTCCTGTAGAGCCTCCAGGTCTAATTTATGGAAGCTGACATATTCTTCCCATTGTAAAAGAAGATGTATTGAGTGAAAAAGAACTGAGTATAAACCTAAGTAAGGTTAGACTGACTCATTTCCTCTGGGTTGTTTTGGGTTTTTTTCCTGAAGTGATTTAGAACTGCAGCAATTTAAAACAGTTGTGAAAAGTAAGTCAGCTGCATAGATCTTGTTTCCTTAAACTATGTTGCTGGCATATCATTAACATTTTGTTACTCTGAAACCAGTTTTCTTAGTTCCATTAATTTATTGTTAATACGTTCTTTAATATAGCTTCAGCTCTTACATTTGCAACAAAAGAAAAAGAAGAAACAGAATCTCTTTTTTTCTCTTTAGAAATCATTAGACCATTTAGATGAATTTAACAGAGGTAGGTCCACATTCTATTTCATAGTGAACAATGCCAAAGAACAACTTGTAAGCAGGAAAAAGGAACACTGTCAGAAAACAGATCTACAGAAGAGTATTTACCCTTCACCAAACAAGAGTAAGATTTGGTAAATTTGAATAGCAGTCCAACAACAAACCTTTCAAAGGCAAAAATAAATTAAAAAAAGGTGCCTCCCACTATCTTTTAGCAGTCTCTCAGTGACTGTGACTGTGAAGGAGTTTAGACTGTTAAGTCACTCACTCCTCTGATGTCAGTCTGAAGCATTAAGCATAGGACAACAGAAGTGTGGCACTGAGACATGGCATCACTTCAATTTATACAGCCTCAATTAGCACATAAAACTTCAGAAAATGTCTAATGAATGCCCCTTCCTCAGTACTTCTCCTTCACTGCAATATTGCACCATGTTTTTTTTAATCCACTCTATAAAAAGTTGAGCCTAATAAAAAATTTAATTTTTTTAAAGTTCATTATAAAAATTTACTGTATAAAAATGCCTAATACCCTAAGCCTTATATACAAAATGCATCACTTTTATGAAAATAACTGGACCCAAGTATATAACAAAACATTTTTATACAAAAAGGTACAAGATTGCATTCAGATTAATGCAAAGAAGTTAAAAAAACCCTTTAAAATGCCTCATTCATGGAAGATCTGCTCCTTTTACAAGTACAGGTATATAAACCAGTAGGAATGGTCCCACGCTGGACACCATTTCGGGGAGGCACACACTGCTCACAGGGTACCTCCCAGGTCAGCGGTGAGCGCCGTACTTGGCTGACCAGTCGACGCGCCCGTGGATCGGCTCCGCTGCCGGCGGGAGAGGCATCAACCGCGGTGAGCTTTTGGTAGGTGAACTGAACGACGGCCATCCGAGAAGGGGTCTGACTGATGGCACAGATGTAAAATCTAAAGGACAAAAAATTCTTTGATATAAAGGTTCAGTGACAGCTGTCCATACTGAACAACAACTGGGTTCAGGTCCAAATCCTTACTTCTTCAGGAGGTAAGTCTCCTTTTTTAACAGAGTTTGCTGACATGAAACAA